GCTCAGTGGTAGAACGTTGGATGTAACTTTTAATAAGCAAGGAATCAGAGTTCGAAGCTCATGCCATTCAGACCTGGGTTTGGGTTTTTTTTTGGCTGGCAAGACCTAACAAACCAGGAGATACTTACGTTTTAAAAAAGTTTCTAATTGTGGGACTTTTAAATACCGTGAAATGGCCGTTCAGAAATCGGCAAGTCTCTGCATTTACCAATGTGCCTTGTAAAGTTAACAATATAGATCAAATCCACTGCTAAATATTCTGAACCCTATATAGTCCGCCTTTATTACCGTGGAAAGATGTGTGGCTTTCCGTACGCGGAAAATATACGGTCTGTGGTTTGGAAACCCTGAATCCAAGTGTAACGGTAGAGCGGGGTCAAGATTATTCGGGAATTAGAAAAGTTTTTTTAAAACCGAATTATAACCCTCCTTCAAGTATAAAATTAGAAGAAGACGTAATTGTCTACCGAATGAGCAAAAGGATGAAAATTGTTATGCATGTTTTCCATGGAATATAATTGAATATGTAGGGGCATCGAAAATAAACGAGAAAAATGCATGCCCCTTATGTAGTCATTTTTACAGTGTGATTTTTCCATGCAGCCGGAAGGAAGTTCATTCGAAAGCCGGTATCCTGAGGTAACTGAAACATAGAATTATGTTTCAGGCTGACTAGTTTTACAACCCTTCTTAATTAATCTTTTCGAAACGAAAACGCCTTTCGAAATTTCGGTTGACATTTCATGAGTTAGCCCACCTACTGTAAGTTGCGCTTTGCGTGCCTGCAATTAACGGGCCAACTTGGTCCTATATCTGCGGGCCAGCCGCCGCAATGGTCCTCATGACATTCCTACTTGAGCGAGATCTCCCCGTACGAAGCCTAATACAGATGAATTCGAAGACCGGCTTGTAAGTGATACGTGTGTGCGGGCTGGTAAGCCCTGTCAAGAACTGCGTCCACGCTTACGTCCTGTTGTCTTGCCACCGAAACGTGGGGAGAGAAGACGAGGTTGGAATCGACGCAAGTCTGTTTCCCCATAAACAAATGCAGTCGCAAGCCAAGACTGCGCCCACCTCAGTGGGCGTCCGAACCTCGCCGTTTATGACGTCCGGACCGCCGTATGCGTGTCGGTGTTGCCATTGCGTCCTGTGCGCTTTGCCGATATATCACGGCGTGCTCAGTGTGAAGAACGCGATTCGTTTGCGTAACCCATCACTGCGTAGTCGAGGAAACCTACATAGGGGCGGTCAGCAAATAAGCATGGGCGATGACTGTAAAAATCCCGCCACGTCTCCTGCAATTACCCCCCGAGTTTGCGTAGGCCAGGGAGGCTAGAGAAGCGGATTCTATTGTACACATGGTTCATTTAAGCAACCGGGGCGTCTGTGGAATAAACATGCAATTGATGGCTGGTTTGTACTGCAGCAGGTTAGTCAACTGGATATGCTGCATCTCACCAAATCCTTGCGTGCCTCCTTGAGTTATAACAGTATGTTGAAGCTGTCGCACCCACAAGTGTACTAATTACCGTATATGTCTTTCTTATTGATCGGCGAGGCGTAGATTTTGTAAACAGTGTTTGCTGTGCAGATTCATCGATGACGGACCAGAAATGTCGAAATGACGTTGCGAAGTGTCAAATAATGTCCCTCTAACATCACTTTAACGGCCCTGACAAATGCAGGGCCACGTGTTAGCCTTCTGAGCCTATCGGTAAGCGTCTGCTACGCTAGAATCAGCAAACCATGGTTCCCTGCCGGTTGATGCGCTTGTGCTCCCACTGGGTATACAGGTCGTGAGCATGGCTGCCCAGTCATATTCGTCCTTCTGACCCGGTAGTGGTGTTGTAAGTTAAAATTCTGGGCGTTTGCTGTCTGAGCCAGAGGGTGTGGAGTGGAGCGCCAAGGTGCGAGCTTGACCGTGCCATTCACCTGCGTCCTCCCCCGTCTCCGGTCTTCTTGACTCTGTCTTGACACCGGGTCCAGGTGGGGGCGGAGGAGAGAGTGTGGTAGGTGCTGCGCGAGTCCACTATCACTATAAATTAATCCACGCGCCAGCCGCCGTCCCTGCTTTACCTTGCTGTGCAGCATACGGTGGACATTGTGGGCAACAATGACTGAACTGTCAGTGTAGGGTACTGTATCAAGACATTTGTGGTTAATATAGAGCCTGGGCGATGATACGATAACCAATACGTACAGAAGTACATTTCATGGCATTGACATCCATGGGAATCGAGCTAAATGGAATCAAGAATTTATGGAAGCTACTGTTCAGCAGGTATTATTGCAAAGAACGAAACATTTTAGTCAAAGGATCAACTGAGGATAACCGGTCATTAAGAAGGCTATGTTTTAGACGAAACGATGCGCATGAATTGGATTAGTAACATCAATACAATTTATGTTGGAAATGGGGAGGAAAACACATGTCCCACATTGATTTAACTCTAAGCACTGACAGAACAGAACGAGTGACGTTATGGCAGCTATTTCTGGTTCATTCTTGCTGCCTGAAATTCTTTTGTATTTTTTCATAACTCAGCCTTTTGTATTTGAATAGTTGTCACTTTTACTGTTTAATTCAAATGCGAAAATCATCATATAAGATATGTGAGACGCTTGGCCGAAAGCTTTGGACCTGGTTATCATGGAACGGACTGTATAACAAGAAGTCACATGATTCTTGCTTGGGGACTTTTCCAAAGATGATAGGAAATGCGTTTAAACGCTATGGAGATAAATTGACGTGACAATTGTAGTGCGGATACGACGCCAACGAAGCGTCTTTCAGGATCACATGCCGTGATACTGCCTTGTAAACATGAAAATAGAGTTTACTTGACGAATGCTTTTGTAAATACTGATATTTTTATTTTCATTTGCAAATTTTTGTTACAAATCTTTTAAGGTGGCTTTGGCCAGTCGTCATAGGTTTTCGAATGGGATAGACAGTAAGTCACCGTGCCTGCTTCACCTTGCTGTGGAGCACACGGTGGACGTCGTTGGATGCGACGGTCGAACTGTCAATAAATCTGCCTATCGGGTCAGATAAACTGGCTTGGGAGTGGATTGGTTCCGGATTTATATGCATTACTTAACTTTGCATGCGAATTTAGAAAACAATGACAACGAAATTTAAAGTTTTCAAACGAATTTAAACAGGTCAACTGTGGCAGTATGTCCTTGATCGGTTTCGACAATCTGCCTGCTTCAGACCCTGAAGGAGATTTTATTTCTTTGCTTTACAGATTCGACTCCAATGAGGGTATAAGGACTCCTCAAAGTGTGCAGTTTCTGGGTTTCGCATCACGACTTCTCTATCACTTTTGTTTTACCCTGTTCAACACATGCAGCAGTCTTGTTTGCTTCGTTGGTGTCTTTTTTTCCTTCAAGATAATTTCTCTTTCGCCATGGAAAATAGAAAACTGTTCTGCCTCCCAGATAAAATAGCCTATGCTGACCAGGAAGAAAACTTGGCCTAGGCCTGAGTTCACTCACTGTTTGTGTTAATCGGTCTTGCTACAGTAGATGTGCTAGACTCATTAACTGTTAGCCGAAAATGCGAAATACATTTTCGACTCAAAACGGTTTCTTAAGTAGGGTTGTAATAGTAATGAACGTGCAGCATGATCCCGTGATAGTTCAGTTACTATAGGATACCGGCTTTAAAACGAACCTGTTTTCGGCCGTCTGCAAGAATTACCCTCGGCAGAAATGACTACTTAAGTAGCCTGTACTTTTCTCATGGATTCTCGGTGCTCTTATAAATTTGCGTATATCTCATAGAAAACATGCATAAAAGTATTCATTTTTGCTCCTTTGGTTAAAATTTACGTCTTCTTCAAATTTTGTACTTGAAGAAAGCGTATAATTCTGTTTTAAAAAACTTTTACAATTCCTGAATAATCTTGAACCCGACCTGCCGTTACACTTGCATCCAGAATTTAGAAACTATTAGTTGTATATTTTCCTTGTACGGAAAACCACACATTTCTCTACGGTATTAAGAGGAGACCATATGGGGTTCATAAAATTTAGCAGTGGATTTGACCCATATTGTAAACTTTACAAGCAAGGTTTTATGAACGGGCGTTTCCCGGTCTTAAAAAATCTCATAATTAGAAACTTTTCAAAGGCGAGTACAGAATTTTAAGATGTAATTTTCTACCGAAGGAGCAAAAGAATGTGTGCTTTAATGCATGTTTTCTAGGATATATATCTGAATTTATAAGGGCATTGAAAACCAATGAGAAAAATTCATGCTACTTAAGTGGTCATTGTATTTCGAAAGTTATTTTTTGCAGGCGCCCAAAAAAAGTTCATTCAAAAGCCTATATCCCGAAGTAACTGGATTATCGTGGAATTATTCTGCACCGTAATTAATATTACAGCCCTATCTTAGTAATCTTTTTGAATCGAAAACACATTTCGGAATTTCGGTTAGCATTTCATGAGTTAACGCAGCTACTGTACAGCCTCTGGTTGTGGGGAGTGGGGACTGGGCACGAAACCGGCCGGCCTAGAGAGGATCGTAGTGTGGGAGCACTCTACTACTCGACAGTGCACATCGGGTTGGTTTTACGGTGCACATTAGCTGTCCGCTGCATGGCATCTAGGATCGGCTAATTCTGCATATAAATTGCTTTGGCACAAAAGCCACTTTCTCCATCCCAATCAGGGCGAATATATCCAACAGTTATGCGTGATTGAGATTCCACACTGTCACCTCCAACATCTCTGATAGTTCAACACTTCATCTTAAAAGCGTTTAAGCAAATTTCCATCTGTCATATTATAGAAGAAAATATCAATTTACATGAGCGATCCGCATAGAAATATAAGAGATCCTTTAATCGTTCGATGGACAGATAGAAGTTTTTAGAAAAGAAGAACGGAATGTCTTCTCCACGTAAGACGACTTGCAATTTGCGCCCGGTTACAAACACATATGTGCTAGTAGCCCTCCACTAATTTATCCGTCATTCTACAGAAAATTTTCAGTTGAATTGATATGTTGCAATGAACTCGAGGTGTCGTATGTTGGTGAGGGTGCCCGTGGCTGCCTTCTGTGTACTCTCTTCGTTTCCAGCTGCCAGGGAGGTCAGTAGTTTGCATATATTCGCACCCCAAATCTGCGCCGCATTTTCCGGATCGAAACTGAGGCCGTGGATAGCCTTCACGGCCGCGCTTCGCAGCGCTTCGTTACGAGACTTCATAAGGGCAGCAAGCACGGGAATACAGTTGGTATCACCAAAGTAAAAGGCGTTCTTGCCATAGTAGGAGCATGCGGCCAGGGCGTGACAGATGCTGATACACATCTCGTCATCAGTCGCCACAGATAACAAACGAGAGATCTCTTGAGTCACACCCAAATCGGTCATAATGGCAAGAGTGTTGCGGTCACGAGCCATTTGAGCAATAGTCTCCAGAGCAGCACGCTGTATCTCCTCGTCCGTCTTGAGGCTGCGAATGAAGCTCACAATGGTGTCCATGGAGGAGGTGAGAGGCTTCAGCACACGGCCCGTGTTCTGAATGTTCTCCAGGCAGGTGTGTATAGTGCGCAAGGCCTCCAACTTTGCATCCCTCTGTCCATTGGTCACGTAAGCGAACAGCATCCGAACACCGCCGTGCTCGATGAAGGCGTTCCTGATCGAAGCATTCATCAGAAGGACGCGAATGGAGGCGCAGGTGGCTGGCATGAGATCATCGATTGCGAGTCGCAGAAGCACCAACCAGGGTCGTATGCCATCCGACATGGTTGCGATAGCGTTCCTAATCTCCGGCAGATCAGCCATGA